TCTAGAAAACGTACGCAACGTCTGATTGATGCCAAACTACCATAAAACCATCTTTGACTCCCTAAGAGGACCTCAATGTAATTTTTATGTAATTGGTCACAGCGCCCCCTAGATAAGATTAAAAGTTAAATACTTCCCAATACAAGGTCAGAATGGCATTAAACTTGGCTTGTGTTATCACGTGACTATGCCAAACACATTGATGTGTTTGTTGGTTCAAACCCCTTTAGCTCCACCCCCTTTCGTCTCTCTGGCTCAAGATTACGCACACGACGTCTGATTAATGCAAAAATAACAGAAAACCATCTATGTCAACCAAAGCTTACCTCAATGGGATTTTGCTGTAGTTGGTCACAGCGCCCCCTAGATAACTTTAACCTGCAATAACTTCAAAAAACGTGGTCAGAATAGCATTAAAGTTGGTCTGTGTCATCACACCACCAGTGTGGTAAAGATAGAGTATCCCCTAGTGGTGAGACGTGTAACTTAATGGTGGGCTCAGAGGGGATGCTGAGTCAGGGTGAGGTGCGGACGAGGAGACCGTTCTCAGTTTCTGGTGTCGGGGTGGTCGACGTCTATGTTCCGTGGACTTGCCCGGGTGCCCCGGGCTGCCGGCCGGGCCGGAGCGGCGCATAGCTGCGAGGGCCGAACAACGCTGCTTGCAGCTTTTATTTCTCTGTTTTCATTGGTCTATTTATCCCTCGTTTTACCCATTCAATGTTTTACCTTTTTTGCACGATTTGAATTGCTTTTATTTTCGATTTATTCATCATGTTTCACATTTCTCATGTACCATGTTCAGCACCTTGGGCTTCCCGACAGGGTCGCGGAAGGCGCTTTATAAATAAAGCTTTGATTGGTGTGACTGATTGACTGAAAGTTTTGCACAACGCCTACCAGCTGGGAGCTTCTCAGACCTTTATCACAGATAACAGATCTGATCTATTTTCATAGCTGTTGTGAACTCTTGCAAGTTTAATTCTGGAATAACAACGATGAAGTCATGATTCCTATAAATAATGTCTCATCGGGCAGGAGACCTCACAACAGTGCACATCATTTGTTTCCCACTTGTTGCTTGCTGCATCACCGAGTAAACGTGCATCAGTGCATTAGGAGGTGACCCAGTAGCTCAAAAGGTAGAGCAGGTTACCTACCAGTGTGTGAATGTGTGTGTGTGTGTGTGCGTGGGTCGTTGTAAAGCGCCTTGGGGGAGTTCTGGGACTCTAGAAGGCGCTTTATCAAATTCAAGCCTTTTACAAACATTCAAGAGGAAATTTGCCCAAGAAATCTTGTCATTTTCAGACATTGTCTAGTAGGTGTGCTACCTGCTTGGGACTGTTGTCCAGATTTATGACCTCATGACCCAGTTTGAAGCTTTTACTGTTAGATCAATGTAAATTAATCAGTGTCTCAATGGCTGCAGTGTTTTTAATTGTCTTTTGCTTCTACAGGAGTCCCCAGTAATTTTAGACTGCGTACATGGATGTGATGCTTTAATAGTGCTTTTTGTTATAATAATGATAAGCAAAGCAAAATTCATTCATCCCAAAACAGCTCTAAATATGATTTTTAGTTTTTACTGTTAAAGGAGTGTTTTCCCAAATCTCCAAATATTTAAAATCTGATTTGATGCAAGAGGGCAGAACCGTATACATTCATGCACATTTTTCAGTTTTGATTTAGCTCTCAGCCAGGGTTTTTTTACTCTCTAAGGAAGGCAGGGTGACACAAATGTGACAGATTCTTGCCCGTCAGACAGAAGGAAGAGTGGTATAGCAGAGCGGCTGAAGTGAAGGAGGAAGAAGAGCAAACAACAGCTGCAGCGACGTGGGCAGGATGCTGTCACCAGTCCGTCCAGGAGAAAACACCGAGCTATCAAGAGCTGCTTTAGTCTTTACTCCAGAGTCATAAATTGGCACTGATGCCAGACAGACACTGATTTATTGTGTTACATAAGGAAATGTTCTTTCTTCTGTTAAAAAGAGGCAAATTGATAAACATTTCTGAACTTTAGTTTGTTAACACAGTTTGTCTTTGTTTATTCGTTTGTTTCTTATTTTTAATCCATGATACTTTAACTATAAATTACTTTTGCCAGTGATCGTCTCAGCGGGATAATCAATGGAAAAAGAGAGAGAGTGAATGAGCTTAATACTATTTCCAAAGCACTGACTCAAATAGTTAAGCAGTATTCTGTCTCATCTCTGTTGAAGTGCGTTAAATCATAGCCACGCATATCTGCACACACATAACTGGTATTTTTTGATTTTTTTTTTCCCAGTTGTGTAACAGAGCTCATTAAAAGCAAGGGTCAACTCTGGCTGCTCACCTTTCAGCCAGTTTTCTTCCTGGTGATATAAATAATAATCAGAATAAAAAAGATCATGACTGATACTAACATCTAAAACTTTTTAATGTTTTATGTCTGTATTCTGCAGGTATTCTCACACAACAGTGATTCGAACTCTGCTAAATTCATAAACTTGTCAGGATTCACTATTCCTTTTAAAGCCCTGAACTCCTTTTTTTCACAAAATAACTGCAGAAAAAACAATGTGCCTTATGATTTATTATGTTACGCAGTTGTTTTCTATAAATGCAACATTAAACAGATGAGTGTCTCCGGTTTTATATTTCCAGCACCTACAATGCAGCTCTAAACCTAATTCCAAAGCCGTTTCTGTCTAGGACACCCTCCTGCATCTAACCATTCTAACACAATAGGTGTGAACGATATCAACGATTACTCGAGGGGTTGGGAGAATGGGTATTCATAGATAGTGTCTGCTCATTAAGAAACAACATATAGCTACTATTTATAAGCTTGATTGTCCCATATTCCAGTCAGAATTGACAAAGTTCCTCGGATGAGAGACAAAACGTCTTCAAGAAACCAAAGAAGTCCAGTTGTTTTAATTTGTTCAGGAAAAAACATTTAAATCAGCATCACACAAATATTGATAAACAGCTTTCCCAGATTAAGAAACATTCAAATCTGATTGTATTTTAAGTATTTTGGGTCAGGGTTTAAAATATCCTACTTTTTTCTCTCCTAAAACATAAAATGTTTTTTTTCATCTGCATGTTCCGAAACTTTAAAAAATAATAATATTTGCATTCTAAATATATTTAGGTGACCTAATTTTTCATTCACTGAATTAAACATTTCTGTGTAACATCAAATAAAAAAAAAGAGATGTTAAAATTGCTACTTTACAAGAAGGAATAAAATATCTTTTTTTTTGAGTTAGAGTCTTAGTGAAATTTCTAAAGTTTCTGTTTTCTTTAATAAAATAAATATTTCTGAAACATAAATCATGCACATCAAGCTAAATTCAAACTCCTGAAATACAACTTTTTGAGTTTTAATTGTCATCGCCAGAGTTTGTTTCTTGCACTCAAAAAGCTGAAGAAAAAAATCACTTTGGACGTGGACAGCTGTTGATTGGTTGAATTAACTCCTATCAAATTAAATAGATTAGAATTAAGATGCCAGCAAAAACAAAAAGCACTTATTACCTTAGACATAAGTCTTTGTCTATTCTTTTTAAAGCACACAGGTTTTAATAGATAACTGAAAGAGAACCAAAATTATGCTTTTCTTTTACAAAATGTTTCTTATAAAACAATAGTGGATACTGAGACTAAATAACAATTTAAAGCAGATATTTAAACAGCTCTATACCCAGATTTTATCTGTAAACTAACTTTGAAGAAGTGCGTCTTCTGCTTTGTGACTGCAGTTTTACCTCCCGACCAGCAAGTGGCGCTGTTGCTATTTTGAGGCGGTCAAATTTAAAATTTGCGGAAGTTGAGCTAAAACTTGTAGAGTAATGAGATGATTGGAAACATGCTGGATGCGGAATCTGATGATACTTTAGATGACTGGTTTATCGACTCATTAAAAACGTAAGCGGACTTTTTACTTGTACTCTAAAATGTTATTTTTCTGCGTTAGCTTATGGCGACAGCTAGTCGCTAGCAGGATTTCGCCTTAAAAAGTTTATCGTTTTTGTCAACATTACAGTTTTAGGGATTAAGGCATCATGTACAGCCTTAAACAAAACAGATTTTTGAAAATAAAACTACGTTAAAATCGGCTTGTTGATTTTACATCAAATATCAACTACTAAATTAATAAATTTCCCCTTTAGCTCCTCTAAATATAAGGTAATTAAATGCCTCTTCTGCATTTGTGTGCTAGGATTAAGGTTGTGTTAATTCAAATTATCAGCTGTTATTTGTGTTTTGCTCGTTTAATTGAAAATAAGTACAGATTTATTTAGATTTGTTTTTCTTTACATATTCTGTAAAGTGATGGTAACAGTAGTAGTTATTCAAAGTAAAGTTTTTATGCTTTTAATTTGATCAGAGACAAACTGATCATAACTGTTAGTTCAACCTCTGCAAGACATTTAGTCATTTTTATACATCATAGTAGCATTTTATCATTAAATCCAAAAAGTTGCTCTTGCTTTTGAACATGCATCAGATTAATTCTCTGCTTGTTTATAAAATGACCATCCGTCAAAATAAACTATACACACAAATATTGAATAGTCTTCATGTCACAGTTCTGCAGCTTTACACAGTGTCTCTTATGTTTGATGTAAATGTTTGTACTTTGCTTTTACACAATGCTGTGAACAAATTAGAGCTGCAAAAAGCACATACTTGTACTCACTAAATACAGTAATCTGTAACTTCTCTGGAAACTTCTACAGCCTGTAGCTTTGTCTCGTTCATTTTCAGCTAGTGTCATCAAGATCTGACTGTTTTTGCATTGGAACACTTCCAGAGTGAACTTTCATGATGAAAACATGACAGTCATTTGACTTTCTTGTTTATAAACAAAGGTGACCAGGTGACATGTGTTTGAAGATCATCAAGGAGGATTTTGCTCTAGCTGTTTTGAGAAAAGCATTTGCTGTTGAGCAAATGTTAATGGTGATGGGAGACATGCACCAAACTGAGATAGCTTTTTTTTTTTTTTGCAGATACAAAGATCTCCATGTGTTTCAGCTGGAAAATCCCACTCGGGTGATCGAGTGGACATCAGAAAAGAGTGAGTGGATTTGTCTTGATCATTCATCGTCATCAAATGTGTGTTTAAAAGGAAATGTGATGTTTTACTTTAATTGCTGTGTTAATTCAGAATATTTTGATGTCAGAACTGGGAGCAAACCTTTATTTTATTCCTATTTTTTCTGTAGCTGTCTGCGTCGCTGGCTACAGCTCACCTAGAAATGAAATTCTGGAACTTCGTTTGCCTCTGAAGCTTTTTGCAGATGAAAACAAGGTAAATAAAGGTCAGATTTTTGCTTTTAACCTAAAAATGTCAATTCTAAGCCTTTTCTGTGCTACGATGTGTTAAGGGTCTCTGTGCAGAACGGGATTTTAAAGTTGTCCACGGTGGTTTCACAGAAGGTCCCGTTCGTCACCTCAGACATGTTCCAGGATCCAGGTGAGTTACCTGAGCTGGACTCGCTTCTAGTCTCCCTCCACTAATGTCTGATCTGTTGTTTTTATTTATTTACAAAAAAAAGTTTTCAAAGCTTTTTTTGTAGGATTTAGTTTGTTGAAGATAAAATAAATTTATCATATCAAAGGAACAAAGTCATAAATGAAAAGAAATGTCTTTAAAAGAAGAAAAAGGACTTCATAAAGCACCGAGCCAGACAGGATTAAAGAAGCGATTTATGTTTTACTCCTTTAGTTGTATAATTACAATCCAGCACGAGTTGGAGCTCTGATGAAACACAACTTGTTTAGTTCAGTAAACATGTTTATCTCATCTTCCACCTTTAGTCAGTTTTTGTGTCATTTAATTTATATGTGCTAGGTTTTCATAAAGCTCCAGTTGAAAGTGTTGCTGTTGGTCTCAACTCATTTCTGCAGAAACCAAAATGTCCTTTAGCTTGTAGAATTTCCTGGCATTAATTTATTTTATTCTAAGAAAAATCTGCTGAAATTATATTATAACCACACAATAACATAAATAACTGATGAGCGGGACAAGCCAGTTCGTTATTTTAAGACGTCAACATGAATTCTTTTAGAGGTGAAGGAAGGAACCTTGTTGAATTAGATATTTTTTCTGAGATTTAAGAGGATTCATCTTCTTTAGTTTAACTTCCTTTTTTTTTTTTTAAATCAGGTGTGCGGTGACCAACGATGGGCGGAGCTCCGACCTGCAGGTCTGGGACCTTGGAGGAGACGACAGCGGTGAGTCTTATTTCCCTAAAACTCCAGCTTGTGTTGTGACGTTAGGTCTGATGTGTTTTTCTCATCTAGTTTCTATTTATTCTTCGCTTTTGGTAGCGATTCATACATCATTTGTCTTTGGTTTGTGCTGATGACTTGTGTTCTCGTTTTGGGAATTCATCTCATGGAATTATAATTATTGGAAAACAAAACTTATAAAGGTAATTTTATAACCGGCGGGAACCCAGGTAGGGCTGTCGCGGTAACCGCAAAAATGAAATATCGCGATATGAAGAAGCCCACCGCGCTGCATCATGGGCCACCGCGATTACTGAACTTGGTTCAACTCAATGATGCATGTTGAGAAGGATGGCTGCACTGGTATCAAAACGAAACGTTACTTCGCTCCTTTGGGAGCACTTTGGTTTTCAGTACGTCAGCTGCTGCGCAGCCAGAGTCCTTGGCCGAGACAGACCTGCCACCAGCGGCAAAAATAAATAAATAAATGCTCGGAGACCTGCTGAAGTCCCGGACAAGCACTGCTTCTGCAGCCGTCCCGAAGAGAGTTTGAGCCGAGCTGGAGCTCACTCGCTACCTGCAGGAGGAATGCATCCACCCTAAAGAAAACCCCCGTGACACGGTGGAGCAACAACCGGGAGAGATTCCCTTTGCTCGCCAGAGTCGCACGCAAGTACGTGTGTGTTAGTGCAACGAGCGCTCCATCTGAGAGGGTTTTCAGTGTTGCTGCAAATGTTGCCACCCCTCTCAGATCCTCTCTCAAACCGTATATGGTTAACATGCTGGTTTTCCTTGTAGGTAACAAGGACGTGACCGAGCTATAAATCACCGTCATTCGTGTGTGTGAAAGTGAAAGTGAAATGATAGTGCGCCCGCCCCCCGGCGCGCGCCCGCCCGGTACATGTAATTTTTTATGCTTGATTTTAAACAACTAAACAAAATGGGGACTTGTTTCTTATTTGTTAGATGCTGCAGCCAAATTTGCATTTAAAAGTTTAACCTTCTCCTGAATTTTGTTGTTTTTAAGTTCAGTCGGACTCCGACTGTCGGAGAAACAAGCGTTACTGCGATTTGTGTTGTTACTGCCCTTTGATCTGCATTCAGTAAAGTGTTATTAAAGAAGGCACGGCAATTTTTAACCTTTTTTAAATGTGTAAACATTATGTTTAGATAGTACTGCAATAAAAAAGGGCTGCAATAATATCGCACACCGCAATATTAAGCCACCCTGAATCACCGCAGGGGGAATTCCTCAACCGCGACAGCCCTAAACCCAGGTCCATCAAGTTCTGCTATCCTGCATATTTTAGTTGCTTTCCTGCTCTAACACTTTTGATTCAGCGTTTGAATTGCCTCTACAGCAGCATGTTAATCACCTATTATAGTCAGGTGAGTTAAAGCAGAGAAACAACTAAAACATGCTGGATAGCAGCCCTCAGCAGACCAGAGTCCCCCAACCTGGCTTTAAATTTAGGATTGTGTTCGTGCGATTTAACCCTTAAAGATAATTGATCAGGAGATAATGTCAGATTTGTCTTTCTAGCTGCTAAACATCGGTGCATTCACAGACCTAAGGGCAAAACAAATTACCACAGATTAAGTCAATCGTGTTGAAGTCTGGTGAATTCTGGGTGGATTGCTTTTTTTTTTTTTTTTAATTTACAAGTTTGTCACTTCTTTTTGTAGATATCCCTAAGGAGTTTTAATCGGCATGTAGTATTCCTGAGAAAAGCTGTTAGGAACCTTTATTTACAACAGAGAAGAATCTGTTAAAACCCAGTCAGAAGTACAGATACTTGCTTTGTTAAATCATTTGTAACCAACAGTTGGAAGAAACCCATTTCACATTTCTGAAGCAAACATGTTTGTTTCTGTCAGAACTGGAAAATAACAAAAACGTTTTAATAAAACTATTTTGAAGCTGATTTCAGCCTCTTACCAGGGACCTTGTGGCTTCACACATCGGCCGTTTCTGATAAATATTAATTTAACATGTTTTAAATGGCTCCAGGCCATCGTGGTGATTAAATTATTGTTACTTCTTTCCTTCTGACTCCAGATGTGATCAGGAGAGCAGGAAGCGTCGAGGGGAGAAGTGTTTCAGACACCGGCAGCAGGATCGCAGCTCGACTTTCAGCGCCACCTCAGGTCCTTCATGGAGCTCGGAGCAGCGATGTCCAGCTGACCCAGCTGACCTCAGGACAGACGCTTTATAAACTTGGTAACTTTTATATTTATGTGGAAAGTAAACAGCTGGACTTGGTTTTTAATCCTCTTGTTCTTCCAACAGACACCGACTCAGCAGAACTTCTCAGCTCCTTACAGTTTGTGAGTGACTCTGTTTTCCTCGCCAGCTGCTGCAACGGTTGCATTTACGTTGCGGACACTCGGACATCTGCTGCTCCTCAGCGCTCGACTCCACCCCCACGTTCAGGTGATTCTGTCTGCTGGTGGTCGGACGCCTCCATAGCTTCGCAGCTGTCCAGCACCAGGATCGTCAGACTGTCCTCCTCGGGAGACATGGTGGTGACGGATCTGAGAAATCTGGGTGGAATTGTGAGTCAGGCTCAGCTGGATGTCCAAACGCATCCCTGCCAACTAGAGGACGTCTCTGTGTCCTGGTCTCCTGTGCTGGACGGCTGCATCGCCGTGTCAGGTCAGTGTGAAGGTTCTGGAACATAAACTTTCATTATGTCCTGAACTGGCTGAATTAAACTTTTAAGACCTTGTTGGAATTCTCTCCCCTCTCCAGGTTTCGATGGAGTTGTTCAGATTTACAACACGCGTCTTTGGAGGACAGAGTTGCAGGATGCACAGCCGCTGTTCCAGCACTGTGGTCACATGGTTTTATCAGAACAGACCGCTGGCTCCGCCCCGATCGTCGTCACCTCCCACCTCTGGCATCCCGAGCGTCCGAGGATGCTGTTGTCTGCCGCGTCAGATGGCTCTGTCCACGTCTGGGACTGGGTGGAGCCTGAAACCACAGGAGATCTTTAAAAATGGATGTTTAGTCTCTAAGTGGTGCTGGTCACTAAAGAGTTCAAACCAGTGCAAAATAAAAATATCGTGACATTAGGGGCAGATATCAGTTTTGTCTACACGTTTGTGTGAGAAAGAGGAAATTGGAATGCTGTTGGGAAAAGTTCCAGTCAGACAGAACGGCTGCCTTTGTAAATGACAAAATGGGTTGATGTCTGAAATCTCAGCGGTTCCCGGTAACCGCTTCATTTAAATATAGATTACAGCAGCAGAGTCTGCTGCACTTTTTATCGACAGATGAAATGTTTGTATTCAGAGGAGTCAAGGTTTTTATTGGTCTGTTTATAATTCTAACTGTTGCATGGATCAACCACTGCAAGGCAAAGAGCAGCAGCTCCTCAGGCTGTGGAAGCGTCTCACAAACGTCCTTTGCTCAAGCAAAAATAAGGTGAAACTCTGGAATCAGGATTTAAACAATAAATATTTTAAAAATGTACATTTAATACAGCTTCTGTCTCCTATCATCCATTCTTTACTGCTACAACATGGTCTGACCTGAAGCTCGTCACTAAAGCAGCAGCAGCTGTGATCTTGGCTCCGAAGTCCCAGAGGTTTCGATGTAAAACTCCTGCAGGGAAAAAGCAAATAAACAGAATAATAATGTTATTTATCTCCTGTCATTTCTGCCTGATGCATCATTTCACATTTTCATTTACTTATATTGGCAACGTAAACTGGAAAATATCCTCTATAGAAATTAGTTTATGCAACAGTTTTTGATGCGTTTTGCTGTTTGATTCTCAAAAAAGATGATAAACCTGCTCATCCAGGTTGAGGTGCAGGATAAACAATCCGCACATTTCAATCTGCGAGAATGTATTCTCAAGCTTACGGTCAGCAGACCATCAGGAATTGTGAATGCTCAGAGTTCCTATTAGGACTTGGAAATGTCTGTATTTCTCTAAAAATAAATATATGGTGACTTTTAATGTAACTTTATTGCTTTGCTCTGTGATGGCTTTTCCAGCTTGATGTCTGCAATGTAGTAATCTCTCTTGATAGATGATTTGGAAGTGTTTTTATAAGATTTTAACTTCTTGTGTCAAGGCACAGTTATGTGAAAGGGACTCCATCCCCCATAATGCCTTGCTGTGTAGAATTGACACAGCTGTTCGACATCAGCTGTTTTTCCTTTAATAGGAACTCTGAGCATTCACAATTCCTGATGAAGGTCTGTTGACCGAAAGCTTGAGATAAATACATTTTCGCAGATTTAAGTTTGCGGATTTTTGTCTCAGACAAGTCCAAGTCTAAAAGAGATGGGTCCAGGTCAAGGTTTAAGTCTTTGGAGCCCAAGTTAAACCACAAGACTTTGTTTTCACAACCTATGGAGAATTTTAGTCCAAGTCTCAGGTCCATGTCCCCATCCCTCTACTGCATCACTAACAAGACGTAGGCTAAACAAAGATAAACAGGAGCATTTTCTAGCCAACCTACTAAACTATTTTAACCACATTCTGCTGCTTATTTATTAAACACAATCAGTGAGTTTGTTAATCACAGTCACAGAAAGGATCCAAGGCCTTTCCCGTCTAAACTCCTAATTGTTGCACCAGCGAGTCTGCTGACAGCTTCTGCTTTCTCCTCTGAAAAACCAAAATGATTCATGCCAAAGTTTCCAAACTGCCTTTGTAGTATTTCATGCTATTGCAGAAGTACCCTGGACCTTCGTTTGCTGTGGTGACACGCAGAAACTGGGAAAGTGAAAACAATACCAGCCTTGCTGTCACAGCCAGAAAAATGGAAAACAAATTGGACATCCGCAGACCCCAACCAGACACATTTATTTCCACTGCACTAGATGTCTTTCCCCAGTTCAAGAAGAGAAATTCAAGCTGAGCTGACTTGATTTCACACCTCACTGCCTGCTTTTTTTTACCTGGTGTGCCTTCAAACTCACCTGCAACACTAATGACACCAAATAATGACAAACAGCTGCTGCAGCCGGGAGTGAACTTTGAATTTCTTCTGCTCCTCGGGTGGATCTAACCCATGTTATTGACCTGTCAGTGTTAAGAAAAAAGCTCTATTAGACCAATTACTGCTGGTGGCACAGACAAACTGTTTCACTTTTAACCTTTAACAAACCAATTTAAAAACCTGACTGTCGGTACACTCAAAAACCTGGACTCAAGTTTGATGCTCATTTCTATTGCATATTTGCAATTAAATTCATATTGGGAACAGGTTCTGATTCAATGACAATTGACTGTAATCAATTTAATCTGTTGTGAAATATTCTGTTATATAGTATTAAGTTAAAACTGGTCTTGTTGAATGAAAACTGCAGTCTGTATCAGATCTTGATTCAATGTAGTCTTCCACAGTGGAAGGAAAACTCAAATAGAACTAGAACAGTTCTCCACATAGTTAAGATGGTCTGTTTTGAACGTGCATGGGTCTAATTTTGTTGCTTCACACCAGCCCACACTAACTTTTACAAAGCCAAACTGAATAAAGTCCTTGGATAAAGGTATACAGGCCATTAGGGAAGTTTAATGGTGAAATTCTGGCGATACGATACGCATCACGATACAGGGGAGACGATATGATACATCTACATTCAGCCAGACGATATTAGTGGTTTTTAAGACTGAATATATTGTAGGAAAATTCAATAAACAGTCCAAACTGATACGCAACATGTTTAACATGAGATATCTGAACCATAATAGGGATTTACATTTCTGTGGTGGAAACCAAACCCATTGCACACTACTGCCAACTAGCGGTTGGCCTTTGAATTGCACCAAAAGAGAAGGAAATACACAAATGTGTGTGTGTAAATTCTTCCAAAATTTCAATACACCGCTTTTCAATATCAATATCTTTTAATTCTCATTCTTCTATAAACTAAAATAATTTTAAAACCAAACAGATGATAAAACTCAAGCAAACTTTGCAACTTTCCAGTATGTGTTAAAATGACCCTTTACGCACATTTTAGTTGTAACTCAGTCTAAACCAGAGATGGGAATTGTGGCATCAACAAGTCAACTCCATGTCGTGATTTTGTTCTGCTCAGCAACTGAACAAGGTTCATTCACTCTGCTGATTGGAATCATCTGGTTTAGTTGCTGAACTGAAGAAAAACATTAGCCTAGTGAACTAGACCAAATTCTTGCTTAGCAAAGTTTGCAATAATACATTTATTTAGTCTGGCTTACCAGGCTAGAAAAACATGGCATGGAGATGACTTGTTGCCACAATTCCCCATCTCTGATTTGAATCAGCAGATGATTAACAGTCATCTGCAGAGCCTGAGGAGCTGCTGAACACTTGATTCAACCATTGAATTAAGTGTATTGGAGCAGAGAAACAACTAAAACGTGCTGGACACCAGTCCTCCAGGCCCAAAATTGAATACCCCCGCTTTACAAGGATAAATGGTAAATGGCCTGTATTTGATACAGCGCCTTCTAGAGTCCTGGAACCCCCCAAGGCGCTTTACAACACAGTCAGTCATTCAAACACACATTCATACCCTGGTGGGGAAGAGCTACGATGTAGCCACAGCTGCTCTGGGGCGCACTGACAGAGGCGAGGCTGCTGAGCACTGGCGCCACCGGTCCCTCTGACCACCACCAGCAGGCAAGGGGGGGTGAAGTATCTTGCCCAATGACACAATGACAGTGACAAACTGAGCCGGGCTCGAACCTGCAACCTTCCGATTATGGGACGAGCACTTAACTCCTGTGCCACCATCACCCCAATAATGAAAATTCACTCAGACTCCACCACCCTCTGTAGCCAGAATATCGCACTTGCAACTTCAGAGTTGCAGGTCTGGTCCCTGCTGACGGAGAGGGGTGGAGTCTACCTCCAGCTCATTTTCCTGCATGTTTTAGATCGTAAGCACAGCCGATTTGTTTGATTTAGTGGTGAACCACTCCTGTAGAAACTGATGAAGGCCGAGGAGACATTTCAGCTGATAGATTAGGGTGTTAAAAAGTCTAACTCAGAGAGGTGACAGGTTTCCTTTTCGGTTTAACCACAGTGAATTATTAATGGACACTAGGGGGTTCTAAAAGCAAGCAAAACTGAAAAGTGTGTCTTTAAAGTGGAGTTGCTGACCCAAACATTATGTTGCCTGTAACATGCACCATGGAGCTCATGGGTGTTCCTCAGTGTTGCCAGAAAGTGAAAATTTTGCAGCATAAAAAATGTGTTAAATGCCACAAAGCACAAAACCCCACTATGTTCTAATACTTCCTGTATGAGCATGTCAATTAGTCAAAAATCAACAATCCTACGACAGTCACTCACCACTGCAAAAATTAGATCAAGCTAGGGTGTCTGTGAAGTTACATCCTCCGCTTGCAATGTGGATGTAAGTTTGAACTCCTAAATATGTTGTTAGCGCCCTGGCTGGTGAGCCAGTCAGTGATCAAGACCTGCCATGGGGCGTTGTCTTTAACTATGATGAACGGTTTAAAAAAAAGTTTTAACAAGGTTAGTTTAAAGGTATGGTTCACTTGTTTAATTAATATATGTGAAGGGGTCTCTAGTAGGAATTAATGTCTTGTAAGTCATACCCCGGTGTGCCTGTTTCAGGAACTAGAAGTGAGCTACATCATAGGAGAGCTTCAGACGGCAGGATGTGGAGTCTTATTTCCCGATATTTGGACGTCTCACAAAGGGTTTCCGCCAGGCTTTGCTTGGCCACCCACCAGGCTAAGCGTCATGCCCCTCCCCGCCCTCCCCTACCGTACCATGTCCGCCGACACGAACGGCGCAACGAAACTAGAGCCCTCCATCAGCGGATACTGGTAAGAAACGGCAGCGGAAAGTGTGCAGAACGTGTGCAACCCCCACCCCCGCTCTCACTGAGGAGAGCTGCGGGGCGCATTAGCCTCTATCAGAGGCTAATGCAGCAGGTAGATGTAGGAGACTATTTTCATGTTTAGCCTGCATGAAAGAGCAACTGATTATAATCAGAAACAAGAATTTAAAAATGGCTTTTCAGTGAACCACAATTTTAAAAGGTACAATATGTAAGAATTTTACATAATAATCACAAGAGTCAAATGGGCAATCATGCAGGAAACAAGATTATACTGAAGCAGATTTTCTTCTCAGCAAAATGGGGACTAGTCAGTTTTTCTCCTTTAAAAAAAACTAAAAATGAACGTTCTCTTGGTTCAACCTGCCAGCCTGTGAGGTTGCAAGCTCATGCTGCTGCACCTCCATTCGTAATTCTACACCAGCCAGCATAATGCAGAAGCTTTGTTAAGATCCTGAGACAGTACCAGGAACAACCCACACAGTTTTTCTTTTAGTTTTACACAGGCTAGAGGCTAATGTTGAGCTAGCAATGCTAATGGTGAATTTCAGTCGCCTTTAAAAATATCACAAGCCACTTTTTCCAATTACCAAAAACACCATATTACAGTGAAATGTTTTTCATCTAAACCTACTGTGCATGACTCGCCTTCGTTCGTCTCCTAGAATCTTCTGGCTCTGAGCCATGACAGGCAACAGCCATGAAACGGTAAGTGTGAAAGTTTTGAACATGGGCTGCAGTACCTACATTTCACCACAGGAAGTCATTCTTACATAATCCACTTAGAGAAACGTGGAATTATTCACATTTTACCTGCAAAATC